TAGATCTTTGATCTATTTTGAGTTTAGTTTAGTTGATGGTGAGAGATACACATTCAGTCTTTGGCATGTTGATTGCCAGTTTTTCCCTCACAATTTGTTATAGAGGCTGTCTTTCCTTCAGCAAAAATATTTGGCCCTTTGTCAAAGATAAGGTACTTGAGTGTTCCTGTAGTTGTTTCTGCATCCTCTATTTGTTACACTGATCTGGGGGGCGTATTTTGCTTTTTGTTATTGTTGGGGGGGGCTGTATATTTGTTTTGTTATTGTTATTGTTTGGGGGTTGTATATTTGTTTTGTTTTTTCCAATACCATACTGTTTTTATCACTGTAGCTTTATACTATAACTTGAGGTCTGGGATCATGATGCCCCTTGCCTTGCCCTTATTGTCCAAAATTTCTTTTGCTATTCTAGATTCCTTTGCTTTCAAATTAATTTTAAGATTGTTTTCTTTCCCCCACCCAATAAGTTTATCGGTACATTTAAACAAATAATACAGTTATATTTATCTTTGAGATCTTGTACCTGTACATGCTATGTCTTGATTCTTATTTTTTCCCATACCCCTGCCCTCCCTTTACCCTCTTCACCCTATCCTACTTATAGAGACTTTAAGATTGTTTTCTTTAATTCTGTGAGGAATGCCATTGGTGTTCTGAATGGGATTGCATTAAATCTGTATAATAATTTTGATACTATGGCCATGTTCACTATATGGTTGTGCCTATCAGGAACAGGGAATATCTTTCCATTTTCTGAAATTTTCTGAGATCTCCTTTTTCAGAGTATTATAGTTTTCATTATAGAGTTCTTTCATTTGCTTGGGTAGATTAATTCCTAAGGATTTCCTTTTACTTGATGCTGTTATGAAAAGTATTGTTTCCCTGATTTCTCTCTCAGTGTATTTGTTATTGGTGTACAGGAACACTACTGATTTTTGAGTGTTAACTTTGTATCCTGCTGTGCTATTGAATTTGATTATATATTCCAGGAATCATTTGGTGGAATTCTTGGTGACTTTGACCTGAAGAATTTTTTGGAGTACTGGCTTTGCAGTCACAAATTTCCTAAGGTGTTCTTTGTCATGGAAAGACTTTATTCTCCATCAATTTTGAAAGATAGCATTGCAGAAAATATTAGTCTGGACTGAAGTTGTTTTCTTTTAGGACTTTTTTTTTTTGGTACTGGGGATCTAACTCAGGACCTTGTGCTTGTGAGTCAGGGGCAGCACCACTGAGCTAAATGCCTGGCCCTAGGACTTGAAATTCTTCACTCCAAGCTTTCCGGGCCTTTAGGGTTTCTGTTGAGAAATCTGCTGTAATCTTAATGAATTTAACCTTACAAGTGATTTGCTGCTTTTCTCCAACAATTTTTAACATTTTGTCCTTGCATTGGACTTTTGAGATTCTGATTATGATATGCTATTAAAAAGTTCTTTTTTAGTCATGGCTCCTTGGGGTTCTCTATTCCTTGTTTACCTCAATGTTGAACTTTGTTCCCATTCTTGGAAACTTTTCTGTTCTGATTTATGTAGACAGATTTTTATGCCACTTGTGCTGTTTTTTAAATTTTTCTTTAACTTCAGCTAAGCTTAGGTTGGTCTTTGCATCATCTAGCAGCTGTTGGATCCATTTTCTTGCTCTCGTTGTTTTGAGGGTATCTTTGAGTGCACAGCCATATGCATCTGATTTACCTTCCAGTTCTGACACTCTGACTTCCATGTTCACTTTTACTGCCCATACTTACAATAGAATTATCTCCTAGATTTCTATTTGCCAACTTTTCATGGACTCTAATTCTTTGCTAAATTGGTCATTCGTGCTTTCAATAATTTTGGTTAGCTCTGCTAATCTTTTATTTGAAAATTTTTTTAGCTTACTGATCAGTTTATTTATTCATTCCATTATCTGTTTAGTCATACCATCTTCTAGCTTACTGAGCTTCTTTGTTTCTTCTTTCATTATTTCACATGATTTGGCCATTTGGTGTTTGATTTTCTCCCCATCAGTCCCTCATTTGATCTGCCTTGAGGGAATTGGATGATTTTGGAAACATTTTGCTGCCTTATTTTCTCATGCTTCTGTGTGTGCGAGCGTGTGTGTGCGTGTGTGTGTGTGTGTACAGGCACACTCTGGGATGTAGAGGGACAGCCAAGCAAAAAGGAAGAGGAAAAAGAAAAGGGTAAGTCAGTAGGAAGGAAGGGAGAGAGAATAAAGAACTATAGTAGTCCTGAGGTCTACTGTGTTGGAATTATTTTTATATCTGAAGTAAAAAGGTAAATTGAAGGGGTTTTGGAGAATATTTGTGAGGGGGGAGGAGGGATGCCAGGTAAAGGAGGCGAAATTAGAGACTGAGGGAAGCTGTGAGATTGTCAGCATCTATTAATACGTTGGGTGGCTGTGTTGCATGATTGCCCGTCTGTGAGCAGGGAGCCCTGCCCATCAGATGTCTCTCTGAGCCAGTAACCCTCTGCAAACAGTCCTATGTCCATAGGACATAGGCTAACTGCAAGTCTTTGTCTCTGTCCCTAGATACAAACATCTCAGTCAATATGGGGATGAGAGAGCAGTGTAACTGGCCCAGCACCCAGTTCTCTGTTCATTTCCAACCAGAGCTTTCTTACTGCTGCTCCTTTTGCTGCAGGGCAAATCTCAGCCTCCTCTGTTTCCCTCCACCAGCCTTTGGCCTAGTGCATCACTGGATGCCTTCTGAACTAATCAGCACTCTCTGAACCTCCACTTGTTCTTTTTCAGTCACTCTCCTCAGAGCTTCACTCTTTAACGCACAAACTTAGTGAAGCCCCAGGCCTCCCCTAACAGGAAGTGGTGGGGGCTCCCCTATGCGCACTTGTGGGCCAGTACGGACAACACGAGGGTGTTCCGCAGCACAATACTCCTGGTGTGTGTGGAAAGGATTGAGTAATTATTTCTTGGTGGAGCTGGCTTCTCCTTTCCCCCAGGTCTTGCTGTTCCCAGACACTTCTTACTCACACAGCTCCTGGTCTATTCTGTTTTTGTTTTGCTTTGTTTTGTTTTGTTCATGCTCACATTTGGTTACTTAATTGGTCCTGGAACTCCCAGACACTGCTCACTCACGCAGCTCCTGGGCCACAGTCCTATCAGCGTGCAGATACAGGTCCCTAATCTGGGTAATGTGCTTGTTTTCAGAGGCCAAAGTGCCCACTAGTTTCACTTGGGAATGGTCTGTGGGCTCCCCACCTGCAGCGTTGAAATTAGTTAGGTTCATCTGTCTTCTCTATCACTTATCCCAGAAACTAAAGCATATTCAGTAAGTATTGTTGGAATGATACATAAAGCCATAAGAGAAAAATAAAAGTATCTTTCCCTTCACTGGTCTACTCACTACAGACCAGCAGTATCTGGAACACCGGAAGTGGGTCACATACTGAGTTAAGAACTCCTTTTGAATATTTATTACATTCTCTAGTTGGAAGAGCATCAAGGTAAGAAGGGGCAGAGATAATTGTGTGTTAAGAGAGAAAACAGGGATGGGGTAAGTGGAGTGAGAACAAAAACTGAAGAAAGGATACTAAAAATTTCTAAAGCGAGACTAATAAATTTAGTTTAATTAAGATAACCTTCCCGGGCATTTTCTGAAGAAGCTTCTTTCCCTTCCCCTTTGTTATAATTTAGATCTAAATTGTCCCCCAAAAGCAATATACATTCAGATTTTGGTGGGGATTGGACCACAGGAGCTGACTTGATGATAGGATGTGGGGTCTCGTCAGCAGAAGCAGTTCACTGACTGACTGTGAGAACTGGAAGGGTGCATCTCCCTCCTCAGCTCCTTCTCTCTCTCTCTC